TGACCACAGGGAGGGACAGCTTCAGGGCAGCGTGATCTGGCAGCCCAAGCTATGCACTAAGAAGAAAGGACTAAACTCAGCTTGACACTGATTTCTTCCACATCCTGCATGAAACCACAGAAGTAAATCTATGCAAACTCAAGCAGCCACAGCAATTACCTACTGCTCCTATTGACTTGAAGCTGTGCTCTCAAGGCACTTGAGTTTTACAGGATCTGCTTCAAAGATCCCTGTTGGCAGTGGAAAGACTCCCACTGTTGGCCCCATTAACATGGACCATGCCACGCATTTCAGCCACAGGTTTAAACATGCAGTGCAGAAAGAGACTGAGTTTCCCACTACATATATGTCTGTACTCCTGTGAGCATGCACATGGCATTTTCCTCTGTAAGTACAATGTAAAACTGGGAAACACGCTCTGCAACATTTCTCTGTCTCAGAAACTGGGATAAATAGTGGCAGTGCATGGGAATTTGACTGCAGAACAGTGATATTTGCCCATTTTCTTTCCCCAGCACATCACCATGAGGTAAGGGTTCCTTGCCTGTGCAGAAATTCACAGTTGTCAGAAAGGTTTTTTCAATGAGCTTGGCACTGGCACAGTATTTGAATACAGTTAGGGCAGAGACACCAGTAGATGGAACTGGTGCTTGGCAGAAAGACCAGGTAGAGCAGTTTGAAAATTCTGAATACAGAGATGCTTTGCTGGAGCTCTGAACTTGGGCTTCTGTTGCTCCTTATTAAACTAACAACTGGAATGGCATAAGCAATAAATGAGGTCCAGGATTTGTGTGTTTACTTTCCTAAGTAGATTTTGGAAAAATGGCAAAGGTTCCTTCTCTCAGCAATATCTTAGAATGTGAACTAGGTGCTTTATTTACAAATGTCTACATAGACTGTATCTAGACATAGACACCATACCCCATTATTCCATACTTTTTGCAAATTAAACTTCTATGATAGGTCTGAGTTTAGGCTGATGACATCATGGAAGAGAATTCATGTCAATAACATTCTTAACAATTTAAAGGACCAAGATTCATTTTGTATAGGCCACACTTGGTACAAAGGAACTCACTGTTTATATTTTATAGGATTTAAAAATAAAGATATAGTGATAATGGGTTTAAAGAGACAATGTAACCTTTTTTAAAAGATCTTCTAATAATTTCTATACCTGCTATATAAAAAAATGTCATATAGAATCATACATCTTTAATATTACTGGTCCAGAGCTCATTGGATTTTTTTTTCCTGGTAGGGGAAAAAAGCCCCTATGGTCATGAGGCATAGGTACAGTACCTTCAGGTACACAAATAATTATACAAAGCTTTGACAGATATATATATATATATATATATATATATATTTATATTTATATTTATATATCATGCAATCAACCACTTGTAAACCAGATAGAAAAAGTACTCTCATTCCTTACCTTCCTTGCTATTTAAAGATCTTGTTTATTTTTTATGGCACTGTCAATGATAATTTAAGAGCAGGGCTATATTAAGAACACTGCTTTTAACCTTTATTCTTTACATATTTTTCACTTCATTCAAGTCAATGAGAATTCTCTATGTGCAAGAACATCAGGGAGGTATGAGTAAGATGTTACTGTCTAAGCCACTGAAACTCACAAATTAGTTTTGTAAGAAATGTAGGTATGCTAGAAAGGTGATACTAAAGATTAGTGCTGGGTTTTTTATGGACATAATTATTGCAGCAAACAGCTTTTAGCAAATGTAGGCAAATTGGAAATGATGAATTGCAATCATAACATTGCTCTTATTTCTAGTAATTTCCTAAACAGAAAAGAACATGTTCTATCACCATGTATGACACAAACTACACGGTAAAATAATAGAAGTCTGCTAAATCCCATTTCAATTTTCAAACAGATAGTTGTGGACACAATATTAGAGAAATTGCAGATACAAGAGGTACTTAAAAACTAAAGCTGGCACTTTTTGTTTATAATTATTTAACCTCCTGGAATATTGTCATCACTTAAGATATAAATCTGAATTGATACATGCATTTTCATCAACTTTTACAGCAACAGAAAAAAACCATATATTTTCAGTGGTGATAACAGGCAGTTAAATTAAGGGAGGATATTAAGTCCTAAAGCTGTTACAGAATTTCTTTGCTATGCAGAAAAAACTTCATAGAACACCCCATTTCAAAATGTATTTCTAATTAGGCAATTTCATAAAAACAAAAGAAAAATACTGTAGGATTTACTGATACACATTTTGTCCAGACCAGATTAGTTTATCTCTTTTCTCTATGCAGGTTTAAGGACTTTAAAAACACACAACTACAGCCCTTTTTGTGGTAGGATTTGCTAAACAACTTATTTTTGACAGCACTAGCAAAACTAAGCATCAAAACCTAAGATATTAAGCAATGCATATAATGTTCAAATTAAGAAATTAATTCTTGTCAAAAGCAGTGGTAACAAATGGGGACTTTATGACAAAAGCCTGATCCTGCCATTGCTGCTCCCTTCTTGTGCACAATGTTTTCAATGTTTTGAACATAACTTGTGTACACAGGGTCATCCTCTTTAGAACTGTCCTCAAACTCAGATAACATAAACAAAGTGTGTATGTTTCTGTGAATGCTTAACTCTGCTTTTCCTCAAGAAAGCACTTGCCTGTGGTAGAAGAAATCTCCAGTTAAAGAGAATCAATTTGATATCACCTGTCCCTTAACTAACACAAACAGCACCGTGCACACAGAGCAGAAGGCACTGACAAGCTCTGCTCTGGGACGCCACATGTACGTGTAGCCAGGCACGTGTAAGGAGATGAAAAGCACAAAAGAACAGCCTTGAGAAGGACAGGGGAATAGAGGCAAAGTATACATGCTTTGTGTGAAGAAACTGAGAAAACCAGACTTGGTTAGTTAGTCCTACAGAATGAAAGCTGAGAGAGGATGTGATTGAATGCTGAGAGAGGATATGATTGCAGTCTATTAATACATCCTGAGATAAACACCAGGGAGGGATAAGAGCTATTTCAGTGGAGGACAATGTTGGCAGGAGAACAAATGACTATAAAGTGGCCATGAGTTACACTCACCCTAGAAACTGGAAGATTTCTAGTTAGGAGAGGATTGAGGTTCTGGAGCAGCTTCCCACAGCAGCAGTAGCAAAGGCAAAATACTGAAATGCTTCCCAAGTAAAACCTGATCTGTTTTGAAAAGGGGCTATATGATATGGCTGCCTGGAACCATAGACTGCATGTGGTGAGTGAGCAGATGTTTCCCTGTCCTGGGTTCCTTTACTCATTCCTCCCAAACTCACAGGATAGTCACAGAGTATGCCAGTAGGAAGTCTTTCCACTTCCTGGTTCACAGAGAAATTGAAGACTTTGCAAATTAAGTCTGAAAAAAAAATATATACAGCATGTGCAATTTAAGAGAATTAGTGTTCCTACACAATCCTAAATTGTTTGTATCTCCTGGATTTCTGTGTGCATGTCCTCAATTTTCACTAACATGTTTAATCCCTAGTGCCTCAAACTATAAAAATACCTATGAAATAAATAATGCATTACTGCTCCAACACTGACACATTCACTTGGTCTGTGTGAGCTGATTGTCAAGAGACCTGTAGCATTATTTGGTTTCTCAGACAGCATGGCAAAGCACAACCATCCACCCCCAGTCCAGAGTTTCTCACTCTGCCACATATATAGGAGTTGGAGTTTCAATCCTCTTGTTAAGTAATGTATGCTATTGCATGGTTCTATCTTTACATTCTTCTCTAACATGCTAAATTAACTAGATTAAACACTAAAGAAACCAGAGTATTTTTGATCTCCTAGAAGCAAAGAAAATGTCATAGTTTTTTCATAAAGAAAATTCTTACTCAACCTAGATCAAAATAAGGAGTAGAAGTATTTTCAAGTGCCACACCCAAGACTGCAAACATACTTTAATTCCATAGCTTTCATTAGAATTAATGAAAGATATACAGAGAAAGTGATAAAGTTAGTCTATGCATAACAACAAGAGGAATACGCTCAAAGCTCATCTGATGTTAGCCTTGATTTCATGCTCTCCTTCCTCTGCTGGCAGATGTTTTTCTGCCTGTATTTGGTTTATAAATGTCTGACATCCTCAACAACAAATTAATTGTAGTTATTTTTTATGCAGATCAATTCTGCTGAAAGTCACACAATAAGAGGCTAGGAGGTTAAAGTCATAATGAAGTGGATGCTGGTAATGTCCACATCTGTGTTTTTAGAGTATTGGCAGCATTTTAATTTCCTTGGGATTTTAGACAGACATAGGATGTTGTTGAAATTGTGAAAGTTTAAGCCAGCAACACAACTGCATCCAGCTGAAACCAGAAAATTAAGAAACCTGGTTCACTGTGCTTGGGAGCCTCAGGGAAAGAAAAAATGTAGATTGGCAAGTGCTTTTAGTGCACACTGGTTTATACCTCTTTTTGAAGGAGATAAATATTGCCAGCTTTGCCACTACAGAAAAGTTCTAGGAGTCAAAGACCATCGCATTTTGCCAAGTACAGCAAACCTCTTCCGTAGGACAAAAACAACTTCGCACCCAAAATACCTGGAGCCTGTGTTACTGCAACACTGACTCAAAGTTCTCTCTGAATGTAACAATTTCTTCTCCTTTAGCATATGTAACTTGTTGTATTAAGTGCCATTGCCAAACTGATAGCACAGAGTGCAGCCCGATAGAAAATTACAGAGTAGCCATTTTTAAAGTTACCAGAATCTACTTAGCTGCGTGCCTAGATTAATGTCTTCTGTAATACTTACAAGGCAAATAGTGTACTTTGTCCATCAGCATTGTGATAAAGAATAGATTAAAGGAACACATGGCTAGCTTGGCACTTTGTCAAGATACTTCTTCAGTGTTACTCACTCTAAAGTATTTCAGTCAAATTCTGCGTTGCTAAATCAAGGACTAAAGAAAATCTTGATGCATATTTTTTCAGAATATTATATATTACTTACCTGGGGGCAGTCTTTGATGTAGTGTCCCTTGTTAAAGCAGAGGTGGCACAGGTAGTTAGGAGGTGGCCTCTTGCTGGGTTTTCTGGCTTCTGAAGAAAGGGACAGGTCAGAGAAATGCTCGGTGAGGGAGCTTAACCCATCCACAATGTTGTTAAGCGAGCCATAAGGTGATGCACTCTTGTAGAGACTGCTGCTCAGAGCCTGCAAAAGAAAACAAGTCACATGCAACACAGTATTGTATTAGGGATTGTTCTGGGGGAGATTTGAATAGGGGATAGATAAAAATAGCAGGAAAAACAAAGTGATTGTTTTTTTCTTAGGAACATGGCTACACATTTGAGGGAAGCAATATACAGGCTTCACAATGGCAGTGCAATGGAGCTGGTCACCCCACTGTTGAGGAAATTTTGAGCTTGCCATGGTTCTCTTAGTGCAACCTTTCCTTAAGCAATGATTGCTTTCTTGTCCTTGGCCATAATGCATTCACAGTACAGTTAGATTATGCAGGGAAAAAGCTGAAAGAACAACTCACAAAACAGAATCCTTTTGTGTCCAAAACTACTTAGGCAAAGAATACTGAAGTCAGGGAAAGGAAAGAACACCAAGAAAAATGCAAAGTAACTTCCAATTTCCAATCTGGTTAATCAGACAGTCAACACAGAGTCCCATGTTCAAATAATAACAAGAAGCATTGAGAGCTACATCTGGTTTGGATTTTCTAAGGGGGAACCTGCTGTGATTTAAATATTTCCTGATAAACAGTAAATACCTAGGTTTTGTACTTCACCTCAATAGGATCTTCACTCTCTCAATCTGCAAATCAAAATCAGTGGCTCCTAATTTGCCATTCAGTAGTTTTAGAACAGCAGGAAACCCATCAACACCTAAATAGGTATTCTCCCTAATGGAGATAAGAAGGATTAATTCACTTTAACCACTTAAGGACCAAAAGAAACCTTAGTGGAGTTCAAAAAGAAAATTCAAACTCTTTTAAAAATTAACATCATAATTAATCACTGTAGAAATAGGACCAACTGTTCAGTGTCCTTTCCATCCTCACATGATGGGACACATTTCACATGGTGTTTCCACCTTAGGTCTGCAATGCTGTGCTCATGTAATTCTCCTGCCATCAGAGAATTACTGCTGGCTAATGGGAAGGTGACATAAGAAGAGGTCCAATCTGTGACTGTGCTTTAATTCTACTGAATTCAAATATTTCAATGGGGTCTTTATATGTGTTTTCATGTGTTTATACATGTTATATATATTTTGAAGACATGCACTGAAATTTATTTAGTGTTTGTGAAATTAATCTGAAATTGAAATTAAATTAATTTCAGAGATCTCAAACATTCAGGGTGCCTGCACAGTGAGTGTTTTCTGGGTGACAGCTGCATACCAAAAAATAATATTAAAGCTCTAGGCACAAATACCTGGGTGAGCCCCCAACTATCCCTGAATTCCATCCCTCCACAGATGGTGTACAGAAGAATTCAGCCTAGTAATCTGCTTCACCCACTTGCACTGTAGTCAAACACAACATGCTGAACTCCACTGACTCCTCTTGCTGAAGCTGGTACACAGCAGCAGGATCAATTTAAGAGGCCCAGAGTGGAATCTAATGTCACCTGAGACTTCACACATGCCCTGGGGCTAAAACATCCTGTGTAGCATAATTCTGTGCTGTGCAAGATGATGTGGCTGAGAGGAGAATCAGCCACTTTGTTTCAGGGGTTAAAGCCACAGATTTTAAAAAGAAAAGGTATTTCAAAAATGAAAAAAAGCTTTTAGCTGCTTTAGCCATCAAGCAACCAGAGACCTCCAATGGTCACTGGAATTTAGTTCTAGGATTTATTGGATGCTATTGGAATGAGAAATTCTTGGCATCAAATTTTGAAAAGGAAGGGGAAGTGCTGTGAATGCCAAAATAGTATTAATTAAGGGTCTTCAAGAAGTTCTTGTCTCCCTAGGAGCCACTTTCTCTTATATACTCTTGGAAAAATATAAAATCCTTCTTTTTAAGAGATCCTCTTGCCAAGAGATTGTTAAAGTACTTCACCTGCATTGCACCCATTAGTAGCTTTGCAAATTCCTTATTATCTGATTTTATAGAAGGGTGAAAGTATGAACACAGAATGTATGAAGTCACAAATTCTTTACCTATTGCCAAAATCCGGAATATCTTCTGGGGATGCAGAATAACTCCTGCCCATCAGGAGGTTGCTATTTTTTCCCCCAGGGCCAACTCAGTAAAAAACCAAAACATATCCATCTGCTGCCTACAGTGGGCTTTGAATTGGACACATGGCATGCAGTGATGACTGTTTTCTTTCCTACATATCTTTTACACTGAGCTATTGCCCTCATTAAAAGGGAGAAATTTGGAACCACAGCTGGGTATTTTGTACCTCACTCCTCCACCAACCCTTCCTGGCACGTTTCGGGCCAATACTTGAAAACAAGGTGCAGTTTGGCACCTTGGCAGCAAACCTTCACAAACTTTTGTTTCCACCGTGGCAGCCAGGAGCTGTGCCAGAGGCTAGGATCCCATGGGACCATGGGCTGCACTGACACTAAAACATACCCCTAGCAGCCACCAAGGGTTCTGTGGCCAAAGAGTGGCACACTGGTCTAAAAGTGGCCACCTGATTCAGCTGGCAGGGGACTTGCTCAATGCATGCCACAGCTGGACATGGCAAAACATTCAGTGCACACACAGCACTGTGAAACACTTCCCTACAATCACCCTGAGGCCCAGTGGTAAAAAAGAAGAAACAAATATAACATTCCAGAACATGACAGTAAAGGAGAAGATGGACATTGCTGATGACACTGGTACTTTAAAGAACAATGCATTCCTTTGGAAAATGCCTAGATGATCCCAAGATGCAGCCCATCCCTCTGGGTATAGTCAGGCAAAGGATTCAGCAGTTCCTGCCAATCTGACCTGGAAAATGGCCTTAAATCTGTTTGACTCCAAGTCAATGTGAAAAACACATCAATCTGGCGCTTGGAAGTTGCTATAAAGAGCACCAGCACAAATGGTGCTACATCCTGTTTCTGGCTCTGGAAATCTCCAGTTCTTCAGAAAGAGATGAGGAAATAAACCATGCCCAAAAGCCAAGTTATATAATAAGGGTGGCAATGGGAAAGTTCATCCCAGCCCCTGGAATCAAATAGTGAAAGCTTAGGGCTTGTAACAAATGTGATGAAATGGTGATTGACTCCATTTTGTCATTGTAAAAGACAAAGGGTGAATGAATATTGCTGAGATACATAAAACAGTTTTGGTTTGGTTTTTTTTTTCTTTCTAGGGCACTCAATTGAGCAGAACAGGCAATTCAGCCCTTACTAAGTATTTGCACTGCTGCAAAGAGGATTTTTAAGAAGGGTTTTGAATAAAATCTTTGAATTAGCTTCACACCAAAAGGGGATGTCCAGGGGGTGATTAGAGTGCCAGAGAGAGTGTTGATGGCCTCAGACAGAAAACAGAGATGCAGAAACAAATGCATTCTGACTCACTCTGGTCTCAAGTGTATTAGTACTCATCTGGGAGGTGGCAGGGAGATTGCTCCCCTCATGAAAAGCAATGACTTACTCTGTGTTCACAATGCAACACTAGCAAAGCTAGCCTATTTCTTTAAATGGTAGACAATAGTACCTCTCAAATAGAGTCTCATTTTGAGCTTGAACAGGCAAAAAGGATTTGGCAGTGAAAGGGTTAGTGCTCTCAAGGCGCCTGAAAGACCACACTGCATGTCCTAATTACAAGGCTCATCAGCCCAGCTGCAATGAATTCAGGATTTCCTTATCTTGCCATACTGGGGGGATGGGGAACCTGGTGGTAAAACTTAGAAACCGCCTTGGTGGGAGGTTCGAGCTGATAATGCAAGTTTGTCTATTTGTTTTTTCCTTCCTATGAAACTTATTGATTTAATTAAATATGAACCAAACTGAAGATCTTGTATTGTATTTTCCAAAGGTAACCTCACTGCTGGGCAGATCTTTAAACTGTATCTGTTGGTGGTGTTGGGAAGCAAATTTCCCTTTGTTATTTGTTTGCTCAGTGTTTCCAGTTAAAGGGCACATAACCTGTGGGGTTGCAGTGTGGTCCTTTGTGAAAGGCAGCTATTGTCTTCTTCGGCTTCCTCACCCTGATTTCCAGTTGGGTAACATAAGTGAGTGACTCAGGAGTTCCAGTATCTAATTCACCTCTAAGATATTCCTCATTACATGAATGATTGGCTCATGCTCCTGATTCCCTTGGCTGGGTCCCTGCCTTTCAGAAACATCTTTTGGGATTGATGTGTCAAGAGGTAGAAAAAGAATCCCTGAAACTCTGGCTTTATCTCTTTAGTTTCTTTTTTAGCAATGGTATAATATTGAGAAGACAACTGTTGTGAATATGCAATGAAATATTGAAAGATAAATAAGAGGCAAGTCTTACTTTCCAAATTTCCCTTTGGTATGTATAGCTACTGCTTTACCTATAAAGGTATGTTTTTAAAAGGGACTAGAAAGCACAGAGAGCACAACAGCGTCTCAATAATGACATATATGCCTGAGCATCTACCAGACCAGCTGGTATTAATAAGCAATGGCAACTTGTTCATGTGGGAATGCTATCTTCTTATTAGGCATGGACTGGAAAAGTAGAGGTATCTCTGGAAAAAACAGTTTCTGCCCCAAGTTGTGTTTGTGGTTGCTGGACCCTTAAGGAAGTGATAAAGATGAACATATCCACATTACATAAAGCTAGAATGACTTCTGGTGGGTGATGAGGGCTGTATCTGGCCAGTGCATGTCTGATGCTCTAGAAGTTAGTGTTATTTGTGCCTATGGTTCTCACTATAATTGTAGTAATTGCACATACTGATGTCCTGTAGCACTCCAATGGTCCTACAATCTAGTCCAGTCATCAATGTTTCCACAAAATGAAATAGTCTATAATTGAAAAGCAAAGAGCAAAGAATTTTTGATGACTTATTTTTGCTGCTGACCAAATAAAGCAGTCTTAATGGACAGTTAAGTTTAAATCAACAGATGCCATGGCTATTTGAAGTTTGTAGGAAAAGAGAGTTAGATTGCCCTGTCATCAGTATGGAAAAAACAAGGTTTTCATCCCCTGTAAATTGTAAATATTTTCCAGCCTGTATGACAGTAACCAGACTAGCCATGCTACTCATTAGCCCTGCACT